GATTTTGTAATCTGCAATCTTTGTGTGTTTTGGACTTCAGGCGAAGTCTAGGAGCATCAAGACGTCGAAGCAAAGTTGCTAGACAACTGTAAGAAAAGCTGTTGAGCGTTTCACTGCTGTAGGTGCTTGGTTCTCTCTTGTGCACTGTTCGTCGGTTGATTCGTGCTAATTCGAGCAATATTGCTTCCGGCCGAGCGGCACGGCAAAGTGAGCCCAACTTGTGAGGCGGTAGTCTACTCCGTGACATAATTGACATAATATATTGCACATTTGCAGTCTCTTGCCCACGTTGTACTAATTCTCAACCTGACAATGTCACGCGCTTCGTGCGCGTGAGTCAGCGTGGTCATTCGTGGTCACAACGTAAATGTCCTGCAGGGAAATAGCCATCCATTCACCCGGTGCAGCGAGGGCATGGTCCTGGCCGAACACGAAGACGCTTGGTTCGCAGGCACCGCTGCCACCGAATGAAGCAATCGCTTGTCGTGAGTTTGTTGTTTTGGTCGACAGTGTTTTCGGTAAGTACTTGAGCTTGCATTGCTTCGCCCTGCGCCGCACTGCTAGCTCAAGCTGTCGACCCGGATCGCTTCCGATTTTAGCTTTTTCACCCACCCTCCTCAACCCGGGGGGAAAAGAGCTCGACAACGCACTGCCCCGCTTCTCCCGTTACTGGGCATCGCATTGCCTCGCACCGACTTAAGAGCTCGGCAACGCACTGCCCCGCTTCTCCCGTTACTGGGCATCGCATTGCCTCGCACCGACTTCATGCATCCTTCGCGGGTAAGAAGAAGAGAGCGCTTCCTCACTCTGTTCTGCATTGCTCAGCAAACTCACAGTATTCTTACTGAGAACGTGGAGTTACCTTACCGCCGACCTCCATGGCGGCACGCAGCATGGCAGACAGGCCATTATTGCCGGCGCCTTTCTCTTGAACAAACACAAGCGGGTAAGATACGGATGGATCAGTCGTTGTGTCGGCGTGCCAGGCAGCAGCGCACAATAAATTCGCCACAACAGAGCATGATGGAGCACGCAATAATATTGGAGAGATGTATACCTTTGTCCAATCTAGCAATATATAAACCAACATGGTAAAGCAACTCCCGCAGCGTAGCATAATGAAACTAGAGCATCAAGGCCACGCCCATCGACCCCCCGGCGTTTGTGCATACACTATATGGCAGAGTGCATGGTTCACCCGCATAAAAACCACCGGCTGCAAAGACATGGTTGGACGGGCTGCAGCGTGTTGAGGATTCTTCGGTGGCCGTGCCTGGTGCGCGTTCTCCTGACCATGTTTTTGAAGACGTTGCGCAGCGTGAAGCGGGTGTTTGTTCACGAAAGCACTAATAAGCACGACAGTCAAAAATTTCCGTAGCCATCCGCACGCAGCCAATGTGTTTTTCGCGGCAATGTTGAGTTTAGGTTGGTGCCATGGAGATGGATAGCCGTTTGTTGCAAAATAGATCCGAAATTGCCACGCCGGAAGCCTTAGTTTGTCAGCAGCCATCATCGGCTTTTCTGCATTTCGTCTATGAGTTGGTCCAAGGACCCCGGTGTTTCAGAAGATGCGCCGCGTTGTTGTAGTAGATCGAGATTGTTGGGAAACAATCACCGTCCAGGCAATGCCACAAAATCGTTTCATGTTGCTCCTAGTGCTTGCAAGCCGCTACGCGATTTGGCAACGACCGTGAACTTTGCCATGTGGACCGGGGTTGGATGTGATTGGAGTATCGATATAACCCGCTTTTTTACCCACGTATGTTTCGAGCGATCCGCATGCGGTCCAGGTGCATGGCGAACTACCGCGGCCTCCCGGTGTAGCACCGCGCTAACAACATCGCGGCATGCAACGCTACGAGCGGCTGCGCGTGCAAGCTGGGTGCATAGGTGGTCGGAATGCTTGCCGTGGCTTCGATGTCTGTCGAGGCGGCTTCCCTTCTTGAGCTCCCGGTCACGATGAGGCTGTAATTGAGGTGTGGCCGCTTGCCAGTTCCAACTGTACGTGCAATGATAAGTTCGCAGACCGCTGACCGTTGCCAGAAAAAGTGGTGGAAAGAGTATTTTGCAAAGCCGCGCTTGGCAGACACCGCCATCGCCTGAACCAGCCATTGGGAAAGCAGCACCTGGAAGCCAAGTGGGGGCTCGCAAGGCTAGCAGACGGACAAACTGGGCGATGAATGAGCAGTCTCCTCCGTTTCGTGGAATCGGAGAAAAAAGAAAAAACGCAAGTCGCAGGCCTTCGTGGATAGCAGACCAACACGCAAGCACGGCGCAAAGACACCGGCTGTACCACGCAGAAGAAAACTTTGAACGACCGTGAGACACCGAAGGGCGCAGTGCTCCCAACAAAAAGTATGTTTTGAAAGTTTTGCCACCAACGACACAATCCCCATCATCTAGGCAGGCACTTCGGAGGCGGCATTCCTAGATTGCGTCAATGACCCGCAAGCTCGGCGTGTCGCCTCCCGTCGCTGCAGCCGTGCAGGCCGCCACCCATTCAACACCGCAGGACTTCGGCAAAAGGCCTTGCAGGCAGCCGTTCCCCCACAACCAAGCAAAAGAACCGTGCAGCTACCTGGGAGGCTGGCAACGCCGAGCTGCCCACGCTTGCGACGCGCACGCGCTTGAGACCCACGTTTCTCATAGCTGCGTAACCTCTTTTTTGCGTCTCGTGCGTTCTCGCTCTCCCAGGCCGGACCAAATGCCGCCCGAGCCTTAGCCGTCAGCCCCATTGCGGACGATTTCACGATCCCTCGGGCCCGCTGTTCCGGGTTCTCGCGGACTTGCAGCTGCTGCCGCGGCCGCGTCCTTGCAATGGCCTTACAAATCGTTATTATGTAGCACGACTCGCAGCTTGCCACAATCGTTTCGCCGCTTTCGCGTGATAGGCTTCCTCATCCAGGTGCTAACGCTCAGCTAGGCATTTCGCTCGGTCGAGCCGTATACGACGGCAGCGACGTGAGTGAAACCTACCCGGAGCTCCTACGCTCCCGACGCTGTTTTCTCGTTGTGTTTGGCATCGAGACCGGCCGGCCATGGAGGCCGCATCCTTCATCCGCCTCCTTGCGTGAGCCAAGGCTTTCAGTGCAGCCTTTCCCTCCGCCAGACCGTACGGCTTGCTGCGGCTTGCTCAACTTCCCAGCTGGCTGCGAGCTCCGTGATGCAGGCTACCTGCGGCTTTGCACGAGGTGATTGCGGATGCGCGCTGGCTCGCCGCCCCCAGAGCCCAGCCGCGATGCTGCGGGGACTGGCTGAGTGTTCAGCCGCATGCCCCGCCCGTGGCGCGCCTTTGCTGTAGCTGGGACCGTTTATTGTTTTTGGTGGGGGAAAGTGCGAAAACTACAACTACGAAACGTCGAGATGATGAAAGCAGCTTGAAGAGTACAGAAAACAACATAACATAATCTAGCCCTGTGGTTCATTCTTACGTCCGCAAAACAAGTCCAAGTCCACGTGCAACTGGCGCGCTACGGGCCGAGGTGGCTGGGGCTGGGATGCATCGCGCAGTACGTCCTCGAGTGGCGGGTGCTGTGCGCCAAGCAGGGCGCCAGCGCTGTACGGCGCTCCAAGAAGCGTGGCAGCAAGTGTGCTTTGCAAATCCACGCTCAAGAAACCCCACCAGCGGCGCAGCCAGCCCTGCCCTGCTGCAGGGCGCAGGGCGGCAGGAGCGCGCTAGGCTCGCAGTCGCACGAGTTGGGTGACTATGGGTAGGGCTTCAGCGCTCCAGCGTCCTCCAGCTTCGCAGGCAAGGACACAAAGACGCTGCGGCCCGGGTCGCAGCAGCTCAGGGTAGGCTACACGTTTGCACCTCTCTGCGACCACGATGGCAGCGCCCTCGCGCGTGGCAGCAGAAGGATGGGCCCGTCCCTCCCGCGTCAGAGGGGACGCGAGTGTGACGTCGCAACACAACGCCTCGCCAAGGGGAGTGGCCCCGTAGACGACAAGGTCGAGGCGGCGGCGATCGGCTGGGTCAATGTCAACGGCCAACATGCGCGCCAGCCACTGCTGGGGCACTCCCTGGCCCTCAGGTCCAACAGCTTCGCGCGCGATGCGCAAGCAAGCAAGCGTGCTCGAGGGGCTTGGCCCGGCGGGCGAGCAAGCCGGTACGCGGGTACGCGGCGTGGTGATCGCCGTAGGCGTCGACAGCGGCGCCACAACCGTGCCCCGCTGCGCCACATGTGTGTGGAGCGACCAGCAGGGGCAACCGCAGCCGCCGCCGCAGTGCTATGAGCATACGGTCCGGCAGCAGAGCGGAGCCAGCCTCGCTCGGTATGGCACTGAGCCACGCGGCCGCGTGCGGGCCCGGACTTCGAACGCAGGCATGGCCGGGGCACGGGGTAGCAGAGTAGGTAGCAGCTCGGTCTCGCGAAAGCGCGGGAACCGTGGTGCTGCCATCCCTGGCACCCCGCGCCAGGTTCAGGAACGTCGCATTGTGCAGGGCGCAGGCCCATGGCGTACATCGTGCCAGGATGGGCGGCCCTGCCATCCGGCACCTTCGAGGCCGGGCAGCAGCAGCATCTGGACTTGCAGCGAGTTTTGCGAGGCACCTTGCTGCTGCATCGGGGCGGGACGCGTCCTGCGGCCCAGTATGCATTTTTAAAAACTTGAATTGTGCCGCGTGTTGAGCCTCCTTAGGCCTTCTTTGAACCCGAACTGCTTCCTGGTGCCTTCAACAAGCGGACGCTTTAGGCTGTCACGCCGCGCGGCGGCAGATGTGTGCTCTGGGGCAGGGACACCCACGATAAACAAACCCTGTGCCTTGCCTTGACCCCCCGGCGCCACCCGGGCCACCATCTGGCTTTAGACCCTAAGCCGCCTTGACCCCCGCTGCCCGTGATCGCTAGTGTTCGATGTGCGACACGCCGCCCGACGCCAGGAAGTGCTACACCTGTTGCACCAACTGCTGGTCCTCACGCAGCTTCGCCGACCACCGTGCACTCCACGCCTGCAATGCTGCCAAAAAAAAAACACGCGCGGGACTCCTCCTGCACGCAGCCATGCCAGCCCGACGCACAGTTGGATCTTTGTTCCGTTGTTGCATGCTGCCGTTGGCAGACTACAGCCCGAATGCGAGCAGCAATGGGCGAGTCATGCGAGCTTGGGAGCCTTGGCTAGTCTCGACCCTTTCTCTGCCGAGGATGTCTTGCTGCAACCTTCTAATGTGTTCCACAGCCCGCCAGCTTTTTGCAAAGCGCTACGCCGGGCCATCACTGTTGCTCTCCACCTTGTCCGCGATGCTTCGGGTGCCAGTCCCTCCAGCCAGACGCTGGCGTCCCCAGCTCTCGCCCGTGCTTGGAAAGTGTGATTGTTTCTGCCTCGCATGCTCTTGCTCCGACCAGCACAATCACCCAGGGTGCCGAAACATTAACTGCTAGCCAGGTTCGCAGCATTTTTCCAAGGCGACTGGGGCAGCTTGTTGCATGCCGCCCTCGACGAGGCTGGTGCGGTCGGCCTGCAACCCAGTGATGACGTTGCTAGGCGTGCTGAGCGTGCTGCCATCTAGGGGAGCTGTCCGCAGCAACGCAAGCCCTCATTGCCGAACCCCTAGCCCCTCCCTCGGACTCTACCTTGCGTGAGCTGACCGACCCTGCGCGCAGACCCCCGCAACTCTACCGACCCCTGCCAGCGGACCTGTTCGATTTTCAGCCTCATGCATAGGGTCAGGTACTGGAGGGTCTGGAATCCTGGCCCCGGGGGCCAGAGAGTGCAGGGTCTGAAATCCGGGGTTCAGGATATTAGACCCTCCCAGCCCCGTGGCTTCCAGACCCAACTGAAAATCGCTGGACAAAAACTGGTTTTAAACTTTTGGCCGCCGCTTCGCACTATTCTCGGTTTGGCGGGTCGCGAGATTGAATTACAGGTCCACGAGCACCGAAATGGATCTGAGATTTGTGTCCCGCGGTGCCTGCTCGTTCCAGTCTCTGGACCAAACTTGGCGTTAAGCTTTTGGCCGCCGCTGCGCACTATTCTCGGTTTGGCGGGTCGCGAGATTGAATTACAGGTCCACGAGCACCGAAATGGATGTGAGATTTGTGTCCCGCGGTGCGTGCTCGTGAAAATCGCTTGACCAAAACTGCATTCAGAAACGCAGAAACCGAGAAGCTATTAAATAACAACCCAGAAACATCCCAAAACGCAGAAACTCAGAAACACTAATTAGACTCCGAACCATATGCCGCGCCTGGATTGTCCGAGTGTGAGCGCCGAAATCTAAACGTTGGATTGCCCGAGTGAGTGTGAGCACCGAAACCCAAACACATTTAAACCCGAAACGCAAAATCCCCGAAACCCAGAAATCCTAAACACCGAAACCCAAAGAAACGCACAGAAACGCTAAAAACACTTAAACCCAAAATCGTGCAAAAACGCAAAAGCCCTAGCCCAGAAGCAGCACCAAACCGAGAAACGCAGAAACCCAAAAACTTGAAGCCCCTATAAACCTAAACCTAGAAACTCAAAAAACGCCCAAACCGCAGAAACCTTAAACACCTAAGCACATAAACCCAGAAACTGCGTTTCGGGAGGAACCCCGTGACCCAGAAACCTTAAACACCTAAATCCAGAAACGCCCAGAAAAGCAGGAACCCAGAAACCCTGAACACTTAAATCCAGAAGCACCCCCAAACCCAGCAACGCAGAAACCAAGAAACCCAAGCACCTAAACCCAAAACCGTCCAAAGACTAGGAACCCCCCAAAAACGTCCAGAAACGCACAAACCCAGAAACCCTAAACTCTGTCTGAGTAAGATAGGAACCTCGAGACGGCTACAACAGGAAGCCGGCGCTGTGCTGCTGTGGCCAGTTTTCTTATGGATGGGTAAGCGAGGGCTCGTGGTACCCGTGTGCCCTGGTTTGTTCCCCTGGACAGCATACGGCCGAAACCCAGAAACGTTAAACGCTTAATCCCAGAAGCGCCCTAAAACGCAGAAACCCAGTAAACCTGAACACATAACCCAAAAACTGCGTTTCGGGAAGAACATCGAAAAACAGCAACCCGACACACCTAGACACAGAAACGCCCAGAAACAGAAACCTAGAAGCCCTAAACACTTAGATCCAGAAACATCTCCAAATCCAGAAACCAAAAAACGCAGAAACCAAGAAACTTAAACAGCGTAAACACAAAAGCATCCAGAAACGCAAAGACCAGGAACCTTACACACCTAAGCCCAGAAACATCACCAAACCCAACAATCTGAAAAGGTCTTGAACCCAGGAACCCCAAACCCGCCAAACCCTTCAGACCCTATAGATCCCAAACCAACATAGACGTCTGAGTAAGATAGGAACCTCGAGACGGCTACAACAGGAAGCCGGCGCTGTGCTGCTGTGGCCAGTTTTCTTATGGATGGGTAAGCGAGGGCTCGTGGTACCCGTGTGCCCTGGTTTGTTCCCCTGGACAGCATACGGCCGAAACCCAGAAACGTTAAACGCTTAATCCCAGAAGCGCCCTAAAACGCAGAAACCCAGTAAACCTGAACACATAACCCAAAAACTGCGTTTCGGGAAGAACATCGAAAAACAGCAACCCGACACACCTAGACACAGAAACGCCCAGAAACAGAAACCTAGAAGCCCTAAACACTTAGATCCAGAAATATCCCCAACCCAGAAACGCAGAAACCCAGAAACTTTAAACGCCTGAACCCAGAAGCCGCAAACCCGGAACTCCGAAACTCAGCCTGGAGTACTCTTGGATTCGTGCTTCTCTACCTCCATAAAGGGTTGCCAGGGCTTCGTAAAAATGCGAGCTGAAACGAACGGAACTGCCGGAACCGACAGGGCAGAGACACCGACCCCAAGCCGACAACCCAAGACGAGACCTGCGAAGCAAAACAGTTCCACCTCAACCCAAACCCGACTCAGCCCGAGTCGCATCGATAAGAAAAAAATCCGTGCGCAAAACGAAAATTAGGTAATTAGGCTTTCCAGGTTCCTCCCAGGTTCTTAAAGGCGAAGTGAGACATTTGGGAGGCGACATTATGCAGGGTCGGCGGCGACGGATGACCTCGGAAGTGGGCCCCCGCACTCAAAACAACTCAATTGGACCGCAGCAAGATCCGAACTGAAACCAGCACCACACAACCACAGCCCAACCGCCACGAGGAACCGGGGTGTATCCGATCCGAAACCGGTTAACGAACCCGAGACTTTCCAGAGCTGAGCGGAGACCACAGCGGAACCGAAGCGGACAGAAGCAGAACCAGAGACGATAACTGGGACCGGGGAGGAGCCAGGCCGGAAGGGGACTAGCACGCAAAAGCGCGCGGGCCAGAACGGGAACAGGAACTGAAACGTACTGAAGCAATGCCGAGCCACAACGGCCCCAACAGAGACCTGATCATAGGCCAAGGCGTGAAGGTCTAAAATGACCTGTTGCATGACCCTAGGGTTTGGATATTAGACCCAGGGTTTGGGGTCTAATATCCGACCCGGGGTAGACCCAACAGTACCTGAGGGTATCCTCATGCACCAGTTGCGCTTGATCGAGCTGCCCTGCTCACCAACCTGCGCCGCGCGCGCAAACGCTCCGCACCAGGGCCCAGTGCATTTGCGGGCGACATGCTCCGCCTCATTCTGGATGACGAGGAGGCCACGCTTGCGTTTGGGGATGTTGCAACCCTGTTTCGATCGTCGCAGCAATCCACCTGGGACGATTGGTTGCCCTTCGCAAGCCCTCTGGGGGCGCCCATGGGCGCCCGCGGGCTAGTCGTCGGCGACCTGCTGCGGAGGCTTGTCGCTCGCACCTTGGCTCAACAATTCTCGAAACAGCTTGATGCAGCTTGCCACCAGTATGCACTGTCGACGAGGACAGGAGCGGAGGCGCTCCTCCAAGGCTCGCAGCCCGCAGTCGATACTACGCTCGTGTCCCCTTTGACCTCTGCTGGTGCCCCCCGCAGGGCAGCTGGTCGCACTGCCGGCGCTGCACTTGCACTCGCGCGCAAAGCCAAGGAGCGCACCTACCCTGAGCTCCGACAGTCTGCCCGATGCAAGCTCGTCGTTCTCGCTCTCGAGCTCGGCGGCCGCTGGAGCACTGAAGCTGCCACCTTTGTCAAACTCCTTGCGCGCCTCCGCGCGATGGCCGTGCCTGCCTCCTCTCGCGGTCCCAGCATTTCTGCATTTGCATCATTTGCCTCTCGCTGGTCAGCCGTGCTTTCCTTTGCGGCTGCCCGGGCCTTTGCAGCAAGCCTCCTCTCCTTGCCCCTTGGCGGCACTGCCAATGTCGATGGCGAGTCTCCACTGCTGAGCGACATCCTCGCTGACTCTTCCCTTGAGCCGCCCCTTGCAAGCCGCATGCCCT